GGTTTAAAGGGACCGAGCTGGCTGGTAAATAAAGCTAATTGGCCTGTACAAAAGGCGTATATTGCTCCTGTTGAAATTACTGTGACCACCGCTCCAATTGTTTGTCCTTCCTTAGTCATTGATATAAATAGGTATTCTTCTTTACCCAAACTAATCAATGTAACTAAATTGGTGTTTAAATTTCTAAACAAGATGAATATTTCATATAAGTTTTCACATCCTCTTGAATATTGGATAAAGAGGGTACAGGAGGAAATCTATGGAAATGAGATTAAATTGATGATGGAAAGAAAATTTGTGAAAGGTTCTATAATAGAGAAATTGGGGCTGTATTTAGAGAACAATGTAATTAGGTGCAGAGGTAGGTTACAAAATGCTGAATTGGATGATTATGCTAAACACCCTATCTTACTGATCAAAACTCATCATCTAACAAATGTAATTGTTCTAAATGCCCATAAAAATGTAATGCATGGTGGGGTACAAGATACCTTAAATTGTATTAGGGAAACTTTCTGGATTCCACAAGGACAGCAAAGTGTAAAAAGGGTGATTAAATCTTGTGTAATATGTCGCCGTGTGGATGCCAATCCTATATGTACCCAGGTCCTCCACCGTTGCCAAATCAGCAATTTGAGTCGTTTAGCAACGACCTCCACCTGGCCGCAGTGTGGAAAATACTGTATATATTTTCCGTAAATACGGTAATTTATAGGTAAATAGATGGCCTATATTGCATTTAATAAAAATTATATTATGGAAAATGGGAAACCGAGCCTGCACAGAAGACTGGCCATCTTGGTTTTGAATTGGATACGTTAATATAATGGGAAGAATTTTTCGTGCTCTAGGTTAAAATTGGATTGACACCTCTCAAATATTATTATTATTATAATCAAAAAGAAGCGCTAAGCCACAAGGGCTATACAGCACCTCTCAAATAGGAGGCAAAATTGTTGGATGTGCATTCCTGCATAACTTGAGATATCAGACGACTGGACAAGACAGCTCCAGGAACCTCAGATAAGCTTTCTAGATTTGTGTATAATTCTGGCCAGTGTTTTCATAAATTTAGTTAGTGAGGTTTTTCTGAGTACAACTTAATATCCAGTCAAATTAGTGAGAGATATTAAGATATATTTTCCTTCTGTTATGTATATGTGAATTTATATATAATCATTTTTTAATATACAGTCCACAAATTTATATATTTATCATTATTCCTGGTGATGTATTTTTCATTTAATTAGTAGGTCCAGAGCAACTTGTGGATATGACAGTGGTAGGTATCGAAGGGGGACATTTTTTGCGACCTAAGTGTCCCAAATTCCTACTTGTCTAACTGATAAATAATAGTTATCATTGTTCATTTACTGTTATGTATATAATTATACATCCAAGTAAATGCAATTTTCCACAGATATTATAATCTTACTAAAATCATCGGGAAAGCATTAAACCCGCAGGGGTCATCCAGTGTATAGCCATGCTAGATAATAAAATGTTAGGTGTAAGTTTATTCAGGTATTCACAAATACAGTTACATAGAATTATCATACATAGCAGCATATGTGTAGACAACCTGGGATAACCCAAAAAAGTCAGACAGTGACTTATTTCCATTGGGGTCCTTTTACCTTATTATTATAATATAAAGGTTATAATATTTTCTTATTACTCTATAATGAAGATAACATCTCATTATCATACTAAAAAGACTATCTACTACACGAGGGTCAGATAAGATTTCGTTCGGATTTTTAACCCCGGTGGGTTAGCCACCCAGGATAACCCAAGAAAGTCAGTGCGTCATCGAGGACTAACTTATTTCCATTAGGGTCCTTAATCTTGTCCCCCAGGATGCGACCCACACCAGTCGACTAACACCCAGGTACCTATTTGCTGCTAGGTGAACAGGGCAACAGGTGTAAGGAAACGTGTCGAAATGTTTCCACCCGCCAGGAATCGAACCCGGACCCTCCGTGTGTGAAGCGGGAGCTTTAGCCACCAGGCCACCTACCATCAGGCCACCTACCACTAGGCCACCTACCACCAGGCCACCGGGTCATTAAGACTACAATGCGAGGGTCATTACTAGGAATAAGGTAAAATTTACACGTATGTTAGCTAAAAAATAACAGTTATCTATGAAAGGACCCCAATGGAAATAAGTCACTGTCTGACTTTTTTGGGTTATCCCAGGTTCTCTACACATATGCTGCTATGTATGATAATTCTATGTAATTGTATTTGTGTATACATGAATAAACTTACTTATCTCAAATTTGAAAAATATATTAGGTAAGAGTAGCCGCATACTGCGGATGTACAAATTTGAAAAGATTATACAAAATTACTTATTTTAGACTCCATTGGATCTATTTCCACTATGTGTAATAATTTATTTAAGTTGTCATATATTACATATGCATATATTACCATCAATAATTACCAAAATTTACACAAAATTATCATAACTGGAACCACTGCATAAATTTTTATGCTGTTTGCAAAAACCATATATACTTAACAGAAATGCAATAATTTGTTATATAAATAAAAAAAGATATTACAAGGACCCCAATGGAAATAAGTCACTGACTTTTTCGGGTTATCCTAGGTAATTTACACACATATTACTATGTAATAATGGTACTTACATGTACCTGTACGTAAATAAACTTACTTATTTGTATTATATATCTCACA